GTGAAGTGAAGTGAAGTGAGGTGAGGTGAGGTGAGGTGAGGTGAGGTGAGGTGAGGTGAGGTGAGGTGAGGTGAGGTGAAGTGAAGTGAAGTGAAGTGAAGTGAAGACGGCGGGTGGGCTTGATTCTCGGGGGGCGGGAGTTGTCGTTTACGTACTCGTTGAAGTAGCACTGACCCAGGTCAGACCTTATCTGATCCTTTCACGGTAGTTGCTTGAGGAAGGGAAAGGGGGGGCCCCGCACCATGCAGTAGAAAGTCGAGCAGCATTTCAAAGTCCCTTGTCCAGCATGTTAGGATTGCTCTTGCGCAGTGCATACGTGTTGTCTCGGCCTGCAAGGTCCGCAGTAGTTTCTAGCAGCAGTTTCCAGCGCAATTAGCAGAATGTCGAGTTTCTTGTAAGAGCCTCTAAAATCTTGCCTTATTCCGCCGCACGCATCTACCTAACTAATGCGTTTTCTTACAAGTTGCACTTTTGCGCGATGAGCCAACGCGAACCTGCGTTTCCAAACGCGGCTGCGTGTAATTAGCGACGTTTGTAGCGCCCGTCTAGGGTGCTGTGGGGTGTATTGGCATCCTGCCATTCCCGAGACGACAGCACCCTGGCGGCCGGGAGCCTAACTCGCTCCCCATGCCCTGGAGAAGCAGGACAAGAAGAGAATCAGAACAGAGACAACCAGAGCTGCCGTGAGGATGCACTGAAAATTCTTGGCGACCAGCGCGACCGCTCGCAGCTTCATGCAATTGGACCGGGCGACGTAGAATGACAAACGGCCGCATGGTGTTGGTGGATTTGCATGTCACTGTAGCTTCCAATTTCAAACATGCTGCGGTTCGGGTTGTCTTGAGTTGTCATGAACTATCGGTATGCCTTTTGCAGTTGAACGCTTGTGCCGCTTCCTCTTGCCCAGCCAGGTATCCCATTTTCCATGACGAGCACTCGCACGCAAAGGGAGATTTGAGTGATTGGACACTGGCCACAGTGCTTTTCGACTTGGACCAGGCGCTGTGTTGTAAGTTCCGAGATCACAGAGCCGACAAAGCCTGTTCGGCAGAGTTTTGCTTTGCCTGCAAAGTCAGTGTCAGGGCACAGTGGACCTCATGGCCGGAAACCCCAAGGACGGACTAGCCCCCGATCTTAGAGGCTCCATGTGATTCATGTACATTGCCAGACCTCAGAATTTAGACTTTGAAGGAGCTGCATCTACAACGGCGCTTCTGGCTTTCAATGCCACCGCAGCCTGCCCATGCGCCACGGTAGTGAAATCCAGGCCCAAGCATGTTACGAGGCATCGCCTGTTGCTAGATCCAGCCGCAGTAAATATCCGCCCAACCGGCCTGACAACGGTCTTTGAAGTAGTGTTTCTGTTTTCATGGTCAAGTTTTAGCATTGCAAGTGAAGCTATTGTGCAGCTGAGGCTGTGGTTGTTTGAAACCTTGGCCGGTGCAGACTTCCAGCGCTGTGCACTGTGCGCTGCGATCTGGAGATTGCTTTCGCGCACCAAAGTTGTGTGTTCTGGCGCCGTCTTGTGGATGTTGTGCTCCCCTGTGAAAAAAGCCTTCTGCATCAGCATTAGAGTTAGCTTCTGGTGCTTCTGAGGCATCTTGGGTTGATGAGCGGTTGCTGCATGCTAGCGCCAGAATGATGCCAAAGCCCTTCGAATGCCACAGGTTGCGAGCCCCCTCCAGTACGGAAGGTGAAGAAGTGGTGGGAAAAAGGCTTCGCACAAAAGCGCAATCACACAAGACTATTGAAAGGCTGTCTTGCTCTCTTCAACTTTGATGCTGAACGGAGCACATTATCGACATGGGTATTGAGAGCTATCCCCACGGCTGGTGAGCTTCGCACGCTTGCGGGTGTGTGTGCCGATCTGAGGGTTCTGCCGTCTGAGGTGATGGCTGTATGTGCCCAACGCTTCAGCACAGATCTGCACATTGGCAAAGGACATATGCTTGTCTTTCGGGACCTACGTAACATCCTCTACGCCCCCTGCAGCTTTCTGGTGCGTTCCGTGAGGAGGCGGGTTCTGGCAGGGATCTTAGTTGACCTGACCTGCGCTGTCTGCACAGTTCGTCTTGCCTTAGGTGGCTCGTGGAGCCGCCGGAAGACGAGTGATGGATCCTGGCGTGCTGAAAAGAAAATGACCGGAGAAAGCAACGAGAAGCAACGCAGCTCTTACTGCAGTCTTTGTTGCACCCCAGCGCGACATGCCGCTGCTTATGCCTATTGGGCTCTGAGTGTGCCGTTCTGTAAGCTCACGGCCTTTCTCGCCAAGCCGGTGCCTTGGACGTGGTGTTTGCGAGTGTCTGTCTAGCAGCTTCGCATCTGCCTTGCTGAGAGCAACCAACTGCAACGCTGTGAGGAGGGGTTGGGCTGCCCATCACTTTGCAGAGCACAGCAGGCACAGCACCGCAATGCTTGGTGTGCTATGCGTAACTCGTGGCATCAGCGAGATTGCCTGATGTACCAGCGCAGCTCCACCCAATAGGCCTCCTTTGTCAGCAGTTGGGACTAGAGCCCTTCAATCGATGACTGCTGCTCAAGTTTGGGCTCAACCAGCTGAAGAACAGCCCCAGTGCTCATGGCGCCTGTGATGTATGACAAGTCGCCCTTCTTTTCCATGGAAGAAGTGGCCAAACACAACAAGAATGATGATGGATGGATTGCAGTCGGTGGTTGTGTCTTTGACATCACCGAGTTCGTGAAGACCCACCCTGGGTGGTCCATTGCTGGGCAGACGTCGACCATTATCGCCATTTGCCGTTGCCTGGGCACAGACTGCACAGAGGAATGGGAGGCCATCCACAGCCGCAAGGCCAAGGCGCAGTCGGTGGACTATTTCATTGGTCGCCTGGAGGGAGCCGATGACCAAAGTCCTGCGGCGCAGCGGCAGAAGTCCTTAGGCGCCGGCTGCGTGTTGGTGAGGATGGAAGGACCTCAGATGGAAGATTACGCTTCCTTCAAGCTGGACCCCAGCAGTGCTACCTTGGCGAAGCTGAGGAAGTTGCTACGCATGGTCTTCCAGAGCCGTTTGCATGTAGCCGTCGCGGCAGAAGCAATCCGCATCCTTGTCGATGGACGGCCGTGCCAAGAAGAAAGCAAAACATTGAGTGAACTGGGCATTAGTTTGGGACAAGTAGAGAAACTTTGCGCGACACTGCTGAATGCATCGCCTGTGTAGAGCGCGACATGCTTTGGCAGGTCACAGGGCAGAGGACCTCTAAATATAATGACCGTAGCTATAAAAACATATATATATAGTTTTCATCTGTTGAATCTCGCAGACGACTGGGGGACTTTCTGCATCAGATGTTTGGGGGGTGCCACTTGGGCGCTTACCAACCCACACGGCCGATGTTTGGATTGAACACGGGTTGCAGGAAGAAGTCTTGAAGCTTGCGTGAAAGTTGAAGCCAAGCTGCATATGTGCAGCTTAGGGCATGTGGCTGTGGGTCAAAACCAAAAAACTGGCGCAAGTCACAAACTGTGAGTGTACATTGCCGTCCGTTGACATGTGTTCAGTTCATTTTGGGATGCAGATGCATTTTGACCCATGCTCATACCCTTCGTATCTTTTCCAAATTGCTTCTGTTCTGAGCCCGAGCCCTGCGCCGTTACGTGGAGCGTGCGGTGGGGACGGAGCAGGACAGCAGAGGATGCATGGACACCACTGTCATTCCTTTGAATGTTGAAATATTGTTCGAAATGATGATCCACATTTTGGGAGAGTTGCCCTCAGGGCCTCAGTGTCAGTGCATTGCTGTGAGTCTGTCACCTCTTGCGCATCTCAGAGGGAATGGATCACGAGTGCATGCGACGCGGATGAAAGCAAGGGTTTTCTCCGAGGACTTGGGTGGCCTGGTTCAGTATGACGGCTTTTGTTTCCATTTGAATCGTGCTTCTGCAAGAATTCCCCCCTGCTTGGACTGATACATGTATTTATTTAGGAGCGATGTGCTGGACCCATTGAGGCAAGGTCGTCAGCAGGTTGGTGATGGCTTGCGCGACAGATGTCCACACATCATGTCGACGGATCCTTGTCGGGGCATGTTGCGCTACACTTTTTGAGAACGGGGGCTCGTCTCTCAACCTCCCACATGCTGTGGTACCGTGCAGAAATGTGATAACAGCTGAGACACCGAAAACCTTGATCCAGTATTTTTTTGATACATCAGTGCTGGGAAGCCAAGGGTTGACCCAAGGCCCAATATTGGGCATCCCCACTCAACAGTGTATGAACCATCTTCCATCGACGTCTTCGGACTGCCAGCAACTCAAAATTTGGGGACACCTTCGCCGTCAGATTCTGTAAGGTGCCATCAAGGCAAGGAATTTGCCACGGATTTGCCAACGGGAAGATGTTTGTCAGACTGTTGAATCTGCCTCGTGTTTCCCCGCAAACGACACAGAACATCATTCAGCAGGTGCAACGGTGTAAACAGCGCATCAGCTCGCAGGGGTTACCCAACGTCGTTGCTTCAAATCCGTCCATTGTGGTCAGGCACTTGAACTGAACTCTGATTCGAGAAGCGATGGAAGTGAATCTGCGGCAGCCTCAGCCGCGGAATAGCCAGCCACCTTGTTCCGAGACAAAAGGCTGCCAAATCTGAAGGTCAACCCTGGATCCTAAGGCTTTCCAAGAGTGGAATCCCCAACGATGCCGTCCACGCTCTCAGATTTTTTTGCATGTCTTCCTCGAGCATCCGCACCTGCCCAAACAGACGTAGCGCGGGAAACGAAAGACCCCCTTGCCAAGATCCTGTCCATCCGAGCTGGAAGCATGCGGAGGCCGGCGCGGCAGAGAGGGGTTTTGCGGGCGACGCTTGAAACTAGCTGGTAATCGAAGCAGCATTACAAGGACATGATAAGGACCTTGTCTCCAGCGTATCTGCTGCCTAGCTCGCGGTGAGTAGCCATGAATCTGCTCACATGGTGTCAAGGCAGGCGCAGCTGGACTCTGGGCGTCTCCCGTACACTTCCTAGAAAGAGCTTGCAGGTCGCGGTCATGTACACTGTATGGTTTCCCGCATTCTTGGCGGAGCGGCGTTTGGAGTTGAGGATTGTGCGGGACGGGTGCGGGGTCGAACAAAAACTCCAGCAACCGTTTCTAAACCCCAAATGAGGCTGAGCACCTCTGTGCCATGTTGATGGTTTCTGAAGCCATGGAGCCAAATTTGCTGTAGGGTGATATCTGCTGGTCTGCTTTAAGAGGGATCAAGAAAGTGTTCGACATGTTAGGTCTGTTGGGAGGTCCATGAAGGCGACGGGATTGTTGAGCCATTGAACGAACCCTGACAGTGGAGCAATGGAATTTCAGCTTGCGTCGATTTTTTTGAATGACGTGTGTGCATGTGTGTCTCCGTATTTTTTTGGCTTATCTTGCCCGTAAGTTGCGCATTGGGTTTTGATGGCCTTGCCTTGCCTCGCGTGCGCAGTATCCCCACTTGTGTACTCTCTGGGTTCACCGAGGTTCAAGTTTCCCGTGGAGTTGATGAAGGAGTCTGGATCTGCCACTGCTTGATTTCAAAACAAGCCCCGGCACTCGGGCGAGGTCTTGGGGTTTTTAGGAT